GAAAAGTAAAAGGACTCTCCTCGGAACAGTAACACAATCTCTTTTATTATGCGTTCATCCAATATCTTATATACCATAGATTGTTATCATAAGCGACTTGCCAGGATGAAACCGTATAAAACGCATTCTTATTCATCGTTTCCTTTCTTACCTTAAAATCCGATACGTTGTTCAAACCGACCACGTCGCGTACGCCGACAACCTCGTTTTTTAGCCCATCCCAAGCCATTACTGTTAATCTCTTAGCAGCCGCCCCAAAGCCCTTTTTATCGTTCTCATCCTCCTTACATTCTTTTTTGTCATTCTCGTCCTCCTTATATTCACCCTCAGGGGTGACTTGACGAAAGACAACAGTTTCCGATATTGTTACACTCTCGAACTCGCCATCTTTGTCAGCATCATCGGATGTGTCAGACGCAGCTGACGAAGGTCTCTTGGTGAAAGCCGATTTCATTTTCGCAAACAATGAATTCACAGGCTGTCTGAACGCTTCAATTCTGGAAGGTCTCGAAGACGTAACATCCGTTGACATAACCTTAGTTTCGGTAATTTCTGTGGAAAGTGATTGACTAAGTGGTGTCGTTGATTCCGGAGTGGATGATAGCTCCCTCTCTGATATCATTATTGTTGCAGGGTCAACGTCTTCGGATGTAACACGACCATGAGACGGAATAGGGATCGAGAAGGTATCGGATGTCGATGACAAATCCTCATCAACCTCTCTGACAACCTACTCATAAAGAAAGTTCGTATTGAGTATAGGAATTAACACAAACAATATCAAAGATCAGATAGCTTACACGACGGTCTAAAACACGGCAAGCTTCTTCATATTCGAATGGAACCACGGCAATTCTCGTAATGGCATAAATAGTCTTCCCTTGAATCTGACCAAGAGGTCTGCGATTAGTAATGACTATAATATAGTTGTCTGTTCATATGTTTGAATAATATATGAATAAACATGAGTGGAGCCGTCTTATACGCTTCATATTAATGAAAATTAATCATCAGAAACATACTGACTGCTTAGCAGCTTAATGAATCCGATTATTCCGTAAATTTCATAATGTCTTGTGGTAGGTGTTGGCATATAGTCATCTATAAAATAGAGTTGGTTAATCCAGTAACTTTATTTCGTTCTTTGGGATAAATTTCTCTTTACCTTTGACGGATAGATTTCCGGTGTCTAAATCGATTTCCACTATATCATTGCCACCTGTCAATACGAATGAATCCGTGTCGATAGATAACGTAATCTTTCGATGAATAGAAGGTGCCGCCTGTGTTTGTTCTGTTGGAGTTGTCCTTCGTTGAAACATGTTTATGCCAATAATAATAATAGTGATGATGTAATTATAGACGAAGAATATGCTTCTGGCACGATTTAATTAATTGATTGGCCTTTCGACATGAATTATGATTGGCTGCCGACTACCATAAACAAAACACAACGTCTACTGTGATTTAAGTACGGTAATTCGAACCGTGCTTGTAACACTAACAGCGTAAGTATGTTTAAACTGTTACTCTTATCAATTGCCTCTTTTTCAAAATTACAAATCATTGATCTGATAACTGGCTCTTGGCTAAATTAGAAGGGACTTTTTTTCCCAAATAACAATTCGGAATCTGTTTTCTGCACGGACGATGTGCTCTCTGTGCTTAAATTAAAGTACTCCCTTATCGTTATGGTATTTATAGACCTCGGCATCGAGAGTAACTATTTGATATGTATCACGTGGGTGACACGATAGAATTTTGTGATTGAAGCGACAAGCGAGTATGGCTATTGACATCCAGGATGGTTGTAATATTAAAAAGTTATTGGAAAGACAAAACACATAGTCTCGGAAAGAAGTCCTATTACTTTCTGCTGACAGTTAATCGTTCGGTTAGTGTGAATTTCTTCGAGCAACACAATCGCTTTATCCAACAACAATGCAGCAATGAATGCGAATGTTGACAGTTGTAATAAGGTCAAATACATTATCATAAATGTTTTGTTTCATTATTTGTCAGTGTAAATATTATCCACATACCTTATATTGCCTTTTTTTTCAAAATTCAAACCATATACTTACCTTTATAATTAAGTGTCTACAAATAGAATTTTTATTCACTCAGTATAGCTGAACAGCAATTCCAGTCTAGAATCTCCTGATGACTATCGCTATTAATAATTAATAAATTAATAATTGCACGTTCATTATTTACTAAACAATGCGTCGAAATCTGGACCATCGCATCAAGTTAAAATACCGTATCCTCGCACCCCCTTTAATTATATGAAAATGATCGACGACCATCACATAAATAAACTTTAGGGGGTTATCTAACAGTAATCGCAGTAACGAAGACTTTTTATAAAAGCTTTTATAATTACCTGTTATTATGTAATAAACTGCTTGTGGGGAAAGGGTTATGTTGCTAATAGTGGTAATCGAGGGGGGTGTTTATTCACATAGGTGCTTATTCACGAGAGGATACGGTATTTGACCAGTTAATCTTAACTAGTTACCTTAGTTTATTCTACCTTCTAATTCTGATATTGGGATTTCGTACTCGGGCATGCATGCATTACAAGTTATGATGCATGCTTCCATTTTACGATTTCAGTGGTTACTCAACTGTTGGTTTAAACGTTATTTTATGGAAGTTAATGTCAACAACGTTGTAAAGTGTTTATAAATGGTCCAAATTTTATCTATCACGATATTATCCTTTTTCTTTACTTCAAGTAAGTACTGCTATTTCTTGATCTCCATAAAAATATATTCGATGATATTTTATTTTTAACGCTTTTAATACATGATTAATAATATTATAATCAACGGTTTTGTTTTATCACATAGGCGTGACAAAATCGAATACTATTTTTTAATCAGATTAAAAGTTGTTGCTAAACGTCTTATTATTACTAAACTACTATTTCCTGTCTTTTTATTCAGCCTTTTATATGACCAACGTCAAGCGTAGGTGTTTGTCGCTGTTGAGGTTAAAATAAATGTATAAATAATTATCTCATGATGGGAACTTGCTTTTCATAATCATAAAAAACATCAACCCAGGTTTCATAATTATTCCAGATGGACATAAACATTTGTCTAAACACTGGCGCTAGTTATAGCGAAACACAACGCAAAAAGATTGTAGTCGACCTTGGAAAATCGTGGATTAAAACACAGCATGGAATGTCGAGTTATCTCACATGCAGTGAATTATTGAGTAGCCCTCCAGAAGAAAATGTCAGTAGAAAAAGTTACAATTCTGTTTGCAACAACCTCTAAAAAAGAGAAGTTACTCGTCGTTTTATTAAAATAAGCCAACATTGTCTCGTCGTGCATGAGGTAAATCGTAATGTCAGTCACTACAACATAAAGTTTGATAAGAGTCTGTCAGTAAATAAAGTCCATTGGAAAGAGTTATGTTGCAGAACGTTTGTCATGTTTATGGTATCAGCCCATTTAATCAACCATAAATTTTAATTTATTAAGCTATTTTTGATCGGTTTCATGCAATCGATTTATTTAAGTTTCATGCAAACGATTCATCTTTCAAAACTAGACAGAACTTTTTTATAAAATATTATTTTCCATCGCAGATTTCCCTACGATCAGGCCGTCCAATACTGAAATCAGTATTTCAATAAATATAAACTGAACATATTACGCAAAGATTAATATTAGTGCCCGTGACACGTGTTACCACTCCATGAGTTCATTTCATCTCTAAGCGCACGGTCTCCCGCGGTGAGTCGACTGTATATTATGCAAAATCGTGTGGATGCTCGTGACGAACTTTAGACAACGATCAAGAATTCATCGTTTCGGACGCATGAGATCGTAAAAAACCAAGTATTGTCGGAGGAAGATTGGTATATTCTGTCGAATAGGATTGGAACGGTTTTGCTGTGTCGCGGATCGAGATCGGACTTGTGATACGCAAGAGGTGACAATTGCAAATGGAGCTCAAAACGATAGAAACCTTCCTTATAATTAACTTATCCTAATAGAGAAACTGTTGAAGGCTCGCGTGATGATGAGATTTTTTGACTAGTGTGCCACAGCGGTTAAAATAAGGAATAAGTTTTATGCTTCATTTAATAGCTTATGAACAGAGAGGTGTTATTACCATAATTCATTAGAGTATTTTGCATTTCATTCTCGACTATAAATAATCCTAATTTCCCACAGCGTTTGGGCATACTTTACTTATATTGAATGTCGTAAATTTCTCTATAATTTAAGGCGGACTATTGCCAGGCAACGAAAGCTAGGATTGATCAAAACAAATTATATTGCACAAACATACAGCGTGTTACGAGAAAAGCTCTTCAAACGCGTAATCTATTGGAGATGATTCTGAGTAAAACACAAATATCATGACAATGTTCAAATCAGACATAGATTGCGCCAGTTATTACGCAATATAGAATTAAAAGAGTGGAGAGCGAGTTTATAAATCGCTCTTCTGTTGATATGTTGTCTTTTCGGCTGTGGAATCGTTGTTTCCTCATCAAAAAGACGTTCGACGTTAGCACTAATTGAATTTATTATGTCGCATGATCCTCTGAGTAGAATACTGATCTGGTAATAGTAATAGCTTGAAACCCCGACCGAAAATTAGCAAAAAACGGATTTCACCTCGTGTAACTTAAATTTGTCATACGATGCTCTCGAATGGACGATTTCTACTTTCTTTAAAAAATGTCTTCTTCAGACCCAGAAGACTACATGTCCGATATATTCTTAGCGGAAGCACCGAAACCCAAAGAATCGGCGCTCACATACAGTGAACGCCGTCGGTTAAAATTATCGTCTAACAAAGGATCTATCAAACCACTCCGAGAACGTGAGAAAGAAAGCCGTGAACAAGGACTGAGCCAACGGATAGATACAGAGGAAAATGCGTCGCCTGGATTGAGGTTGCTTAGGAGAATGGGATATAAAGAGGGCATGGCATTAGGAAGATCAACGGGTGGAAGGATCGACCCGGTACCTGTAGAGATTAGACAAGGTTAGTTAAATGAAAACACTTTTGATCATTATCGTGTATGTCATAATTCTATCAACTACGGCCTGTTCATGAATCCTGGGGTATTGCTGTTCTGTGATCATCGATCGTGATGCACTTATGATAAATGGTTTTCGGATACTTGTTGCCAAGTGATTGGCAATTGAGATTCATATGACTTTATCTAAGTCAATTTCTTTTTTACGCTCAGGCCGATCTGGTCTCGGACTGGATACGGAAATTAGAGAACGTGAGAGTGAAGAAGCAGAGCGTGTTGTTAAGAGAGCTAGAATTGATGATGAAGAGTATCGTTCGAGGATACGAGAGGGACGACTAGAGAAACGGGCGTTCGCACAGTTGGAATCGGCCAAGAGGATATGTGAGGATTTAGACATGAAGATAGTAAGTGATTAAGAAGAGGAAGAAATACGTGATTGAATCATGCATTGTACTGGGAACATTTAATTCATATTCTATTGATTTTGCATGTAATGTAATTTAGGGTGTTGAGGTATGTTTGAAAATTTACTTCGATATTAGTGTATAAACGTCGCGCAGTCGGTATGATCAATGGCTCTACCAATCTGTTCGGCATACTGAAAGAAAGGCGTGATCTACAATGTTAGTGAGTATGCAACCAGATTGAACATAGGAATGGGCATTGTTCTTATACTAAACGAAAAATACACCGAGCTGTGACATATAAATGTTTCTAATACGCTCGCTCTTCTTTCTCACGAAGCAAAATCCCCTTTGGTGGACTCCGGAGGCGGACCCCGCGGACGATCAGTCAGCCCTGGCAGAGTCTAACGAAGCTGGGAACGATAAGGGGAGACAGAGCGACAAGCATGATGATGTAGCAGATGACAGCTTATCACCGGAAGACACGCGTACCCAACTCGGCATCATAATTGGTTACCTGCGTGAAAAACATCATTATTGCTTTTATTGTGGGTCGATGTACAAAGATGCGGATGAACTGGAGAGCTTGTGTCCGGGTGAAACGGAGGAAGATCACGATTGAAGAGATGATATGAGCTCGCAATGAGAAGATGTAAAACATTGAATGTAACCGCCGTGTTTGTGACTTTATCATGGATTCGGTTTACATAATCCTGGCCTATGGTGCATAATACCTATCCCTTAGATTGTAGTATTGTTTAATAATGTTGAATACTTTGCGTAATGGAGATAATTGAATTGACTATAGCATTGGAGCGAATTAGTTTAGTTGATAAATATTAAATATTAATATTATTATATTAACATTAAGTTAAAGTCCGGAGCCACCAGACTTATTTCCGACCACGTGATTCGTGGGCTTTTAGTTGGCTCAAACACTTCGGATAATGAAAATAATTAAGACTATTGTTTACATATCATATTAATATGGGCGGTGTATTTGTATCACCCCTAATTTCTCCTGTATAAACAAACAGAGGGTGGGGCTCTGTTTGCAGCGATAGTGGCGCTCCGCTGAGTACATCAATTAATCAAATGGTGACCTTCTTCGCTCACCCTCAATGGGACAACCCCCATACACTCTTGTGTGTGAGAGAAATTTATTTGTATGTCTCACCATTATTGCTTTTATGGCGTACTGGAGAGTACAGGGACACTCTGGAAATGGGGTTATTTCGACTGTCAGATGACAATAAGTGATTATATGATTATTGTACAAGTCAATATATATATTATATATTATATAGTATATATAAGAACCTTATAGTTTACATTAGTAAGATAAGGTTATTAATAGATTGATAATATTGATAATGCTGTCTAATATCGATATTAATAGTTCAATGATAGCATTTTTTGGGATTATTAACGTCAGTATCAACTAACGATACTAAGATAAAATAAATAATATTGTTGTGATTGGATAGCATTGATTACAATCACACGATCGCTTGCTTCGTACTTGATTTTTTCTGTAATTATACAACATACACTACGTATAAATATTTGAGATAGCCCAGTTGGCTCTAGATAGTAATTGTGATGATGACAGTCGCTTGCAGTGTAACCGTCTCATTATGATAACAGTCGGGTTATGGTAATAAAGCACTTGGTTGAAGAAGACAAAGTTTGAATGAAAGAATTAAGATGGCAAGTCAATGAGTGGAATAGGGGGATCACAGTGCATATATGAAATTCATGGAATTATTTGTATACTCTGGAATTATAACTATTCGTCATGGTTTGTATCACGTGACGTATAAGATATATTATCTAGTTGATATATTACGCAATATGACCCTCTTGTGTTCAGTCAAATGCATAAATTTCATCATGTGACAAGAAGTGTTATATATGCTATATGATACACTTTATTAAAAGGGAAGAGAAGAGACAATTATTAAGTGAGATATTATGATAAACCCGCCATTGTCAACCGAATTTCTTTTTTGCAATTCGTTGTTATATTTTTTTGTAGCAGTTGTTATAGTTAAGATGGGGGGGGGGGGGGTAAGTAGGGTTGAGAACTTTAGTTTGGCTGATGTAGCATATGATAGTATGGCAACAATAGATGAAGATTATATAACTGTGTTAAATATTATGATAAGCAACTTTCAGTATCACCACCGCTTCGAGAAAGCATCATCTTGTTTACTGGGGTAATGTCAGCCAGTTGTATTCGGCAATGACTGACATGCGTGTAATAAGTGTAATAATAAACAATAATAACAATAATTATTGTAGTAATAATAAATAGATTTAAATAGAACCGTAATATTAAAAAAAAAAAGCTGGTGATAATAGAAAGAAGTATAATAACAAACAGTAATGGTGAAAAAAAAAAGCAACAAGATACCAAATAGAAAGATATTTTCTATGAACCTCACTGTTCCAGCAAGAAGGGTGAGAGACAACAAGCCCGACTACTTGTATATTATTATGAGCCTTTTGTATATTATTGTTTGTTACAATTTAATAACAAACTCGCTCTCTCGTCATTTCATCACTATTATATGTAAACCAATAATATACCATATAATCACATCGAAATATCACATTCCACTTCTGATCATCCGAACCCACATCTGATATCCCCATAATATTACCAATCTATACACCCTCTATCCTCCAATAAATACCCAATATACTCCACTCTTACCACCCACCTATCCACCTGTTTTTTCTTCTCGAACTCTCGAACGCAACCCACCACCGTTATCCACAACCGTAAACAGACACACTCTCACAATGCCTAAGGCCAAAGCAACGAAGAAGTCAGCTGCCAGTAAGTATATACAACATAAGCGAGTATATATAAATGATATATGTTACTATACAAATATGACCCCATATATGGGAAATAACAACACTCATAATGAAGAAGCGTGTCTTGTTCTATGGTCAAGAGGAAGAAACTGTGTGTGCGGGTGGAGTGCGGAGATGTACACGTTATTATGGTGTTAGATTATGGAATCAAAACATTCGTTAGAGAGTGGGCATAGAGCGCGACTGTACATAATGTCTTATATGACTATATAGAAGTATATAGAGGTATATATTTTGGATAAGTATATGAGAGATATAGAAGAAATATGGTTGGCCCACGTCATTCATATAACAGATATAGAGAATATGAGCCTCATACGAGAGGAAAAGAGCAACCAAGTTTATGGAAAATAATATTCTTTTTAGACGTTTTATTAAGTAGTCATATAATAATATCATTATTATATAGTATATATAATTTTACAGGATTTATTATACGCAGTAATCGTCTAACATGGATATTTTTTTTCTTCTTCCCACCCTTTTCGCTCCTAAAACCGGGGGAAAGAGAAAACTATCGCCGTACAATGCCTTTATGAAATCCGAACTTCCCAAAGTCAAAGCGGAAAATCCAAATCTTGAACACAAAGCTGCATTTAAACTTGTCGCTGAGAGATGGAAGAATCATCCTGACAATCCCAAGGTAAATAAACATTCGACTGGCCAGATGAATTGAAATATCCGTGAATGTAAACATCATATCGCTGACTCGTACGTTCTCTCTTCTTCCACTTTTCTTCTTCCCCTTCCCTTAAATAGAACCAAAATAGTTAAACTGTTCAATTCCAACATTACGCATGGTATCAGTACAGTACTCACGATGTAAAACACCATCATATATTTCAACAAATACTTTTCTGCTTTTAAATGTATACGGAATATGTTCGTAGTTATACTTGTTTCTATATTCTCATAAAACGATTGCAACACAATAGCGATGGGCTTACCTGCCATCTCGATCGAAAGATGGATGTTGTTATCATGGGTTAATGCATGTCGAATATAATCAATAACGGGATATAATTACAAAACAAAAGTTTCGAATGCTTTTTTTTTTCTTCTCTTTTTTACTTTTTCTCTTCTACTCTTTTACCTCTATGCGAAATAAATATAGTGATTACATCCCTTCGCATCGAGGTTATATAACCATTCGTGCAACGTGTGTGCGTAAAAAAGTGTTTGAGAAATGTCAATGATGTATATATAATACGTGATGGTCCCTTCATGTGTTGCGTATAAAAACTGTGCTAGTATTTCTCGGCTCTGAAACTTCTCTTTAAAGCACAATCCATATGATGAATTACTTGTTCATTTGTTACACTGATGTGATGTGAAGCAGAGAATATATAAAGCAAGAACCATAAAGAGGATTAAATAAAGGTCTTGTCTTTTATTAGAAGCAATGACTCAGCGTTCAAACAAATGGTCTACCGACACATATCCGATAAACGATCTTACTGCAGTATAGAAAAAAGTTTGTGGCATCGTAATTGACAGCAGTTGTTTATGACTGGAGACAGATAATTCGGTATTCAACAGTTCACGTAATAATCGATAATCAAAGACCTTCATTCTGTCTTCTGCAATGTAACTGTCCATTTCTTTCACAAACATCATACCACTGTTCAACTACAATGGACCAAGTTTCTGTTTCCTTTGTGCTTTATATAAAGAAAATCAAGCTAGAAGGCAATTATAAAAACGGAAGAAATGTTGTTTATATATAAACTCCCAAAAAGCCACCACTTATAATAACAAACACCATCTTGGATCATTCTTAGTTGTTTCTAATAACCTACACACACCACAAACTCTGGTGAGTTCTCTTGGAATCAAGGGGATCTTCCTAATACATAAGAATTATCCCAATCAACAAGAGAGATAATTCGAGGGAGCATAGTTTAAATAAAACGGGCAGACAAATAAGAAATATTTATATAAATATAGATTAAATAGATAAAGTACCATGGCGATTGTCTACTTATTCTCCTCAGGCTCATTATCTTGCCCCCTAGGTTCTTCAGTTTTCTCTCCCTCTGCTGCTGAATAGGAACAAAAAGACATGGAAATATTAATGGCGAGTCGAAACAACCAGGGAATCACCTATCCCAACGTCATGTCCCCTTGCCGGCTTTTCCCCCATCTTCTTTGTCCCAAAAGGCTTACCTTCTGGCAGATCTGAAGTCCACAGCGTCAAATTGTCTCTCAACAGCTGCATGATCAATGTACTATCCTTGTAAGATTCCTCACTTAACGTATCCAATTCCGCAATAGCGTCATCAAACGCCTGTTTGGCCAAGTGGCAAGCACGGTCGGGCGAGTTGAGAATTTCGTAATAGAAAACAGAAAAATTCAACGCTAAGCCGAGACGGATAGGGTGGGTGGGAGCGAGATCGGTCTGCGCAATCTCGGTTGCGTGCTTGTAAGCCCGATGCGCTAGAGTTGCAGCTTCTTCTCGACTTTCACCTGAAGCAAATTCAGCTAAGTAACGGTGGTAGTCGCCTTTCCTATAATTATTATAATCATTGTAGTTCGAGTAAGACAATGAAACAATCAGTCTTATTTCTTGCATTTTTGTATATATTGACTGCGGTTTTCTCAATTATTAGTCTAAACCTTTTTTAACTCGCCGCACTTGCGCCCCAATTTCCTACAACACTTAATAACGGACTACGCCATCTCAAACTCACATCTTATAATAAAACACTTTTGATTCACCAGCCTCAGCAGAACGGA